AATATGTCAGGAATTTCTCACTAATGAATTCCCCTTGGCTAAGGCACTTGACTGCTAACCAGAAGGCTGGCGGTTCAAATCCACCAGTCACTCCTCGGAAGGAAGATGGGGCAATCTACTTCTGTAGTGATACTGCCTCAGAAACCCAAGGAGGGGTCACTATGAGTTGGGTTCGACTCGACGGCACACAACAACAACAACAATGCATATTATGAAATATATAATAATGTGTATCTTTTAGATAAAATAGTGTGTGTCCCAAAATAGATAAATTATTTTAATAATTTTAAATCAGGTAGTTTGAAAGGCATACCATTTAAAAGATATCTTTCCAGTAAAAAAAGGGAGTTATTTTAAAAGGTAAATGTTGCCTCCCTGATATACTTATTTTGGAAAAACCGATCATCTCATATATAAGCTTCCTCAGTAGGGTCTGCTGTAGGCCTAAGGTGTAAACCTACTTTGGAACCAAGTCCAGGACATGGGAGCAGAGAAGGTCACTGGTTTAATGCCACTTCATGGAGTCTTTAAAGAGAACTGTTAGTGGGATAAGTTGCTGATACCTATGCATTTAATGGTTTTTAATATTCGTTACACATTCAGAGTTACCTGGTGCAATGACTGTCTTTGTCATGAGCTGCTGTTGTTATGATGGTTGTGAGATCCCAGCACATGGCTTTCTCCCCTTCTGGAAAGCCAAATCTGTCTGAACTGGCCCAGCACAGTGCAGTTGGACCCCAGACAATAGCTAAAAGCCTCCTTCCCCTTCAGACCACAAGTCCTTATCCAGACACAGCACAGTCTCAGCTCAACTCTGCAGAAAAGCAGCTCACATCCATTCTTAACTTTCTCCTCTTTCCCAGGGATACCTCGTCATGTAGCAGCCATGTGAGAGACCAAGAATTGTCCTTGCCATGTGCTTGCTCTCTGACACCTGCATTCTGTGGATGCATTAATGAGTTACTGCAGAGTAATGCCTGTTGTCCCCATCGTAGTACAGCCCGTATCTTTTTCAAAATGCCTCTGCATTGTCATTCTCACTTTGGCATTTGTTCTTTAATGATTTCTTTGCTGAGTGCCAGCTATGTACATGTACAGCTTAGGTGTCATGTGGGAGGGGTTTCCAGTCCAGAGTTCTGTCTATTCTACTATGTGTGCTGCAGCCCATGTGGCCAGCATACCTGGAAGGACCTGGTAAGCAGCACTGAAAGCCAGCACTTGCAAACAGTAGTGCTGACAGAGAAACCAAATCATTGCTCAAGAAGATTTATTTTGTTTCTAGCAACACTCGCCGGGCAGCAGAGGTGTGGATGGATGAATATAAAAACTTCTATTATGCAGCGGTGCCTTCTGCCAGAAATGTCCCTTATGGAAAGTAAGTGTCACTTGGCCTTGTACTGCTTTATTGGGGAGGCCAGTGCAGGAGGGGGTCATGGGCCTGCACACTCTGAAAATTACATGGGGGCTGGAGTTTGGAACAGCCACCCAGATGTTAAAGGGGACCCACTGGGCCAGGTCTGATAAGGGCTTGAGGTGGTAGGCACTTGGAGGCAGGGTGGATGGGGTAGGGCAGCACTGTGAATGGTCCACCGACCACCACTTGTCCCAGTCTGTTCTCACTAGCAGGTTTGAAGTTTGGTTCAGGGAGCCCTATCCATCCTAAGACTGGTAAAAGGGTCTTGTTTTCCTTCTCATTCAGTATTCAGAGCAGATTGGAACTTCGGAAGAAGCTTAGCTGCAAGCCTTTCAAATGGTACCTTGAAAACGTCTACCCAGAATTAAGGTGAGCCGAGGGCACCGAGTTTCACTCTATAGTGGCTGGCAACTAAGCAGAGGATTTCAGAATAGTATCTCCTCTGCCGTTCTGCATTCAGATGGGGTGATGAATGCTTGAGAGATGGAGCAAAGTTTGCACTCATGGCAGGTGGCCAGATACAGAGGCCAGGAGCTAGGTTCCCAGTGACAGAGAGCAAGCACCAGCCCTCACCCTATAGCCATCTCAAGCATCCCTGAGAAAGAGCTCCCAGAATCCCAGAACCACTCTCCTCTGATCTGTGTTACCCTTTCTTAGAACTGGAGGCAAATCCCATGATGTCATCTAGTTTCAGCTGGTCCCCCATTGGCAAAGTGCCAGAGGGGCAAAGTAACTGGGAACTGTTATCTAGTGTCTCTGTAAATGGCCAGAGGATGTGGCTGTCCAGCCTCAACCCAGTGTCTGCTCTGTGCTGAGTCCAGTTGACCCTACCCTGCCTGAGCAATATCTGCCCAGGTACCTTCACTGGCCTCCCTGTTTTGGCTCCTATGTCCTTAGCCTTATTGAGTGCCCTTCTCCTCCTTCCTCTCTGCATGGCATTTCTTGGAGAACATTGGAAGGTAACTGGTGCTACTACTGGGGCAGAGACTACAGTATTGCTGTGGGGTACTGCTGCCCATCCAGCAGCCCAGCATATAAGGTTGCCCAACCAAGATCTTGGAGCACTTGGACTCTGCCTTTTCTGCCTTGGTGCTCCTGGACATTGGGCACAGGGCCTCTCTCCTCCAGGCCAGCATTTCCCATATGTGGAATGGGAAGAACAGCACTGTGCCCTGCTTCCCTTTGGGAGCATAGCAGAAATACTCCTCCAAGCCTATTTCTTAACAAGCTTTTCATCTTAAGTTAGTAGCAGCTCCACATCCTATGGGACCACTGATAACCTTCTCAGATGACCAGTAGATCTGCTCTGCTTCAGGACCCATCTGAACTTCATCTTTTTAAAGGCACTATCAGACAGGTTTTGCCTTAATGTGGCACATTCCTTATGCTAAATATTCCCAGAGCATTTTACACTGAGTTGCATATCTCTAACTTGGTGACTGTGAAAAGGCCTCTCCACCATTATCTCCTTGTTAATAGCCTTTTGTGACTCCTATCTTGGAGATTTGTTGGAGGGAGCTTGGCTCGCTCATCGCTACCTTGACTTACATGGCTCTTTGGGGCTGTTTCCTTTTCTGTTAAATTAATGTATGAGGCCCTGTACCTCCCATGCCCCACAAGGAGGATAGGAAGGAACTTATGTTATCCTTCTCATTGACCTCTTCCACAAGGATGGCTTTGCTGTGAGTGGAGCACATTGATGGCCATTAACAGAAGCCCTTGATTATTATGTTTTTCACCAGATGAGAGGCTTCACAGCATTGGATTTTAGCCCATAATGATACCCATTTTGCTTTTGCTGACACTGCCACTGGTGACTAGGTGTCTAGTAATACCAAATTGAGTTGCATTGAATGTATAGCTTTATCCTGGGGTCACCTGTAATTTTGGGTGACATTGAGCCCCTATACCTACTTAAGACCATCCTCTAAGCTAACTTGATATCACACCACCTGGTAAATATCTGCATTTCACCTGTCTAGGGTTGAGTGCTTCTTGTGGGCCAGACACTATGCTGTATGCTTTACGTAACCCTTGCAACAGGCATGTTTGGTAGGTACTGGATAGAAGAGAGAAGGAGCCCTGGAGGCATAGTAGTTCAGCACTCAGCTGCTAATTGAAAGTTTGCAATTTGAACCCACTAGCTGCTCCACAGGAGAAGATGTGACTGTCTGCTTCTGTAAAGGTTATGGCCTAGAAACCCTATGGGACAGTTCTGCTCTATCCTGTAGGGTTATCTATGAGTCCAGTTGACTTGACAGCAAAGGGTATATAAACCAAAAAACCAAACTCACTGCCATAAAGTTGCTTCTGACTCATAGTGACCCCTCCTTGGGTTTCCGAGGCAGTATCTCTATGGAAGTAGATTGCCCAGCTTTCCTTCTAAGAGGTGGCTAGTGGGTTTGAACCATCAGCCTTCTGGTTAGCAGTCAAATGCCTTAGGCACTATGCAACCGCAGCTCCCAATGGGTATACAGAAGAGGAAATTGAAGTTTAGAGAGACTGAGTCTGACATTAAAGATCATGCAGCATGTGACAAAGGTAGGGCTCAAGTTCAGGTTTACTCTAGCACATTTTGCTTTTGGTCATTGTGCTATATATTGCTTTGTTTGTATTAGGCCACTAGACAAATCCACTAATGTTTTCCCTTTTACTTTGTAAAGGTTACATCCTAAGCCTGGTGAAAAGTTTGATGTTACCACACTCATTGCTATTCTAAATTATTTCTATCAGACCAACATCAACAAGTATACCCACTCCTTGAAGACCAGGTCATTATGTGAAAATGGCAGGATGATCCCATCAGGTCACAAAATAGAAGATGACTGCATTATTACATAACACCAGATTACGTTATTACAGTACTACCAAGCCACTGAGAATCATGGCCTAGTCAAGAATCATGTAACCTTGCCCATCACAGCCAGCATTACTCTCACCTAGTCCTTCAGCATTATTATTGCTGGGCTTACGTTGTTAATGCACAAAATAGTTGGACAGAAGATTTTTTACTATTGTCATAAATGTGAAATGTCAGATAATGATATGGTCGATAAGTAAGGAGTAGATGTATTTAGAGCTTTTCCTTTCCAGAAAATCGGCCTGATACAAAATATAAAGAACACTTCTCCAACTTAAAATCTTAAAGTTTTAAAAATACAGGAGCTCAGCAAACCCTGTCTCAGTGACCCGTCTTTGACATATAGTGGACAGGGGGTATAAAGCCTCATATTTTGACATTTCTGATGCTATAATGATGACACTGTGCAGAGCTACTGGTAGAGGAAGCTGACACACCTGGGGGATTAAGCAGGTGATTTTCCTGTTGCTTCTCAGGGTTCCAGACCATCAGGATATTGCTTTTGGGGCCTTGCAGCAGGGGACCAACTGCCTCGACACTTTGGGACATTTTGCTGATGGTGTAGTTGGAGTATATGAGTGTCACAATGCTGGGGGAAACCAGGTATGTGTGTGAGTGAACTGGGGGACCCAGGGCCCAGCAAGCAGTATGGTGTAGGGTACTTAGGCTAGAAATCCTGTTGCCGGTTCTTCCTATAATTAGATATGTGTCTGTAATCAGAAGTGCCTGCCTTCTGCTGGTACACAGCCACCCGTAGGGGCAAATGAGAGTATCCCTCCTTGGCACCACTGTCAACCTCAGTTTCCTGGGGGCTTAGGACCAGGCCCTGCTATAGTGCAAACAAATACACTGGCTACTCATTCATACTGTGCTCCCATTGTTCAAGCAACTACAGGGTTAGTGGGCTTGGCCTTTTTCTCTGTTTCTGTCCTGCTGGCTTTGTCCTCCCTGTTATATGTCCTTGTCCCCAAAACCCTAAAACACCAAAACCAAACTCACTGCTGTTGAGTCAGTCATGACTCATAGCGACCTCTCCTTGAGTTTCCAAAGCGGTATCTCTACAGAAGTAGATTGCCCAACCTTCCTTCCAAGGAGTGGCTGGTGGGTTTGAACCACCAGCCTTCTGGTTAGTAGTCAAATGCCTCAGGCACTATACCACCAGAGCTCTTCCCAAAACCCTGCTGTATGTCTTATCCTTGGTCTCTGAACATGTATGTGAAACATCTGGCCTAATGTTAGACACTTACCAGGTATTTAACACATGGTCACTATAGTTGCTAAAATTATTTTTCCTTGCCTGAAGATTGCGGTCTTAGATAGTAGTAGCTTAAGATTTAAAGCGTTCATTGTGGATAACTTCAGCATGATACACTTGCACCTTCCTCAGAGGCATGAACACCTACCATCTTGGGGGAAGGGAAGAACTAGTGAAGACTAGATAGGCCCTGATCTGGGTGGGTCCCCAGTGTTCCAGAGCCTGTTATCCTGGAAGGTGTTAATAGGTATTTGCTAAAAACGTGAACTTTGTGCACAAAATATATACTCTTATTCTCAGAAATTTGCCAAGTTATAAAAAGACCTGCAATTTTTAAAAAAGGGGAAAAAGATACCTAAGTCTGTGTATCCCACCCAGATGTACTGATCCCAGGACTTCTTTATATAGAACTATTTTTAGGAAGAGTGCCTGCCTTTGTTTAAAACTGACTGTTCCACATTACCCCAGGTGGTAACTAGGCAGACAACACTCTTCTGAGGCCTAGACTCCTTCCTGCATGTAGTGATGCAGGTTTGGAAGTTGCTTTGCCATTGCCATCAAGTTGATTCCGATTCATAGCAACCCTATAGGACAGAGTAGAACTGCCCCATAGGGTGTCCAAGGCTATAACTCTTTGCAGAAGCAGACTGCCTCATCTTTCTCCCACAGAGAATCTGGTGGGTTCACACTGCTGACCTTTTGATTAGCAGCTGAATGTCTTGACTGCTGCACCACCAGAGCTCCTCAGAAGTTGCTTTGGAAATCCTAAATCCAGACCAGTTAGGCATGGAAGGGTGACCATCAACCTGGGGCTGTGTCAATGCCCTCTTAGGCCTGTCCTATTAGACCCAGTACAGCAGTGACCAGGCTGGCCCTCCCCTCCTCTGCACTGCCCAGCACTGCTCTTCTCCCACAAACCCTCACCACCACTAGGCCTCAGGCTGAGCCTCTACCATGGCCTCTAATCTCAGGGATGTGCCCCAGGGAACAGGCTGCAGTCCCGGGTGAACATAGAACCAGCCTCAGTATGTTGCTTGAATTATACATTAGTATCTAAGCACATAGTATGTGGATCTCTCTGCACATATACTCTTATCCGAAGTCCCCCAAGTGTTAGGTATGGATTTGGAAGAAGGAATCCATAAGAGAAAGAAGTAAAATGGGATACAGGAGAGAAAGCGAAGGAAGTGAAAAGACAAGAGGTAAAAGGAATTACAAGTTAGATGGCGTATTCTGGAGTCGGGAAAAGAGGAAGGGGAAAGGGGCCATTTCCATCATGCACATTACCATGGGTGTTTCTGTGTCCTTATGGGCTTTTCCATCTAAGGGTACCGCAATGAAATGTGGTTTGTATGTGCTACTGGGAAACCCTGGCTGCTATGTGATGCTCTTGGACTCTCACCTGAGTGAGGATGAAGCCAGAGCCTGGTGCCATACTGTTATCATTCCTATTCTAGTCTAGGTTTGGTTGCGGTGAGCCAGGAGAAAAGGGCTATTCCTTCTACATGGTTGAGACTACTGTGGCAGTGGGGAAAGCAGTGAGTGGGGAGAGATTTTTTTTTAATCTGTTTCATCTGTAAGCATAATAAAAATACTAAAATGCCCTCAGAATGTGAGCTCTGTGAAAAGAAAAGATGACAGATCTAATTCTCAAGAAGTTTAATATAAGAAGGAAAAGGGATTTTCAAAGTTTGGTAGCATGTCATTAATTCAGAAATTTTGATAATTGAGTTGGGGATTTACTTTAGTCCATGTATTACAGAACACAGGAAATGCTAACTATTCTGGTTACCTTGTACTGCTCTGACAAGAATGTACCATAAATGGGATGGCTTGAACATACAGGAGTTTATTCTCTTACAGTTTGGGAGACTAGAAGTCAAGTTTAAAGTGCCAGGCCCTAGGGGTTGTATGCAAGTGCCTTGACCTTGGGCTTCAGCTTTGCCTCTTGCTCCTGGCCCGCTGAAGCTAGAGGCATCTCTTCACTCAGGCAGCTACTGGCTGCTGAGGCTAACAAGCCCAAGGTCGACAAATAAAATAAATGGTCGATATTACCAAACCACACAGCAGGCCATTGATTCAAGTCCACCGAAAGTCCCAGGATCGGCAGAGCATGGTAGGCTGCTGAACAACGATACAGCTACATGCAGGGTCAAGTGTGCCATAAACTAAAGACTGTTCCCCAAGGTTTCTCTTTATATACAAGAAGCAGACAGCATCCCTAAGGCAGCTGCTCAGCTGCTCACAGTAGATTCCACCATGGAGTTGATTACCAGTCTCATTGTGGTAAATACTACATCCAGCTGCCCAGCCACTCAACCAGTCCCAGCCAAGTTGACACACAAACTTAACTACCACACTAACCCATATCACTTCCTGTTTATTTGGGGACTTTTTATTATTCAGGGTACCTCCCTGCCCAATTAATTATTGAGGTTTCTCTCTGTATATTTGAGCTATTATGATAATTCACAATTTCAGCAGCTCCATTGGGAAGTGATGTGTCTGTTCCTAAAGGACTTCCATCATCTCTCCCTGGTCAGTGTATCTCTACCCAGGTCAGGTTGCCCTGGGCTTCACTTCATGTTGGATGCCCTCATTCTACATGGTCCTGGGGAATGGACCACACTTTTCACTCCATAAGTGATAACTAATGACAGAGTCAGGCCTCTGCAGTGGCAAGCAGTGGTCCAGAGATTAAAGCTTTGTGATGCCCTTGGAATGGCCTCTGGCTTCCTAGACCTTGCTGGACAGTAGTTTCTGAGCACCCATAGGGAAGATGTCCCAGGACATCCTGGTGTATACCTGTTGCCTATGTAATTTTTCTCTCAGAGGTGTCCCAATTTGGACGATGAATTACAGTCACTGGAGCTCATTGGTGATGAGCTGCTCTGGGGATGCATTTTGGGGAGGAAATCAGTTGGGCCCAAGCAAGAAGTCACCCAGAGTGCTTAGCTGGTCTTTACAAAGGGGACCTGAGCAGCAGAGATAGAGCTACATGGTACCCATGGCCCAAGTGCTGGTGTACCTAGAGTCCCCACACCTCTGCATAACAGAGACCTCAGTGGGATCTTAGGGTGGTTGTGGAGAAAAAGCAAGGATGTGTGGCAGAATGCTGACTTCCAGCCCTTCTTCGTTCCTTTTCCTTTTTGCTCCCATGAGACCATTATTCTTCTCACACCAGTGATTTTCATTCCTTTTCAACAAATGCTTGCTGAGAACCTCTGTGTCCAGCACTGTGCTAGGCCCTTGGATTTCACAGTGTGGAGGGCCCAGCCCTGCATCAAGTAGTTCACAAATCGGGCAACAGTCCTTCTGGTTCTCAAAGAGTCCTCCAACAAGGCACACTAGGGTAGCCTGCAGAGCTTTTACAGAATGTGGATACCAGGTGTCACACACAGAAATGGTCAGTCTGGGGTTTAGAGGGCATCAAAATTTTCCAAAGCTCCCCTAGGTGATTCCAAAGAACAGCAGGGATTTTCCAGTGAAGAGCCAGTCATATGATCTTATAACAATGAGACAACATGATAATACTGGGGACATCTTACTCCAGGGTCCCATCTGAGGTCCAGTGAGCTACTTTCTAGAGCACCATTGGCCAATACAACTTCCTGTGATAATGGAAATGTTCTGTATCTGTGCTGTCCAGTTCACTAGCCACTGGCCACACGTGTCTATTGAGCACTTGAAATGTAGCTAGTGAAACTGAGGCTCTGAATGTTTATAATTTAATTTTAATTCACATAGCCACGTGTGAGTAGTAGTTAGCATACTGGACAATTTTGGAGGGAGAAAGATGCCAGAGATGATGCTCACCACTGGTCAGGTGTTCTAACCTGCAAGTGCACTGTGTGCAAGTCCTTTCTGAAGTGATGGGATACAGAGCTCACCTGAGTAGTATACCCAGTGGATAAGAAATAAGAGAGTAAATAACATTTCCTAAATGGAACTATGGAGCTCTGGTGGCATGGCATAGTGGTTAAGACATTGGCTTCTAACCAGGTCAGCAGTTCAAACCCACCAGCTGCTCCACAGGAGGAATATGAGACAATCTACTTCTGTAAAGATTTATAGCCTTGGAAATAGCGACCCCCCAGTGGGGGTCACTATGAGTCAGAATTAACTCAATGGCAGTGGGTTTTTAAATAGAGCTAGAGTATGGTGCTTCGGAAGAGTGGATTTTGTTATCTGGTTTCTGGCTGAGAGTTGGCAGACACACAGGAAATGAGAAAATTAATGACCATATTTTTAAGAGTGGTAGCCCAAAAACTCATTCCTTAAATATTTATGAATTTTTTTTTATTACAAATTCAGATCATTGAAATGCAGCAGAGGAACAAAGTGGCAAGTAGCTCTGTTGTTTGCATAGCTAAATGAGTTTTTCTGGAATGCAAAAAGTCTGTTTTAAAATAATGAAGCACACAGAAACAAGGAAGTTGTAGGAACACCCAGGCCTGATCTTTTTTATTTTTATTTTTTTAATTTTTGTTGTGATTTGGGTGAAAATTTACAGAGAAAATTCATTTTCCATACAGCAGTATGCACATTTTGTTTCATGACATTGACTGCAGTCCCCATAATGTAACAGCTCTCTTGCTACTTCCTCCTGGTAGTTAGTTACCTCCTCTTCTCTGTATCCTTCTTCCCTATGCATTCCTGCCCCCTGAGCTATCTCCCTCTGCAACTACTGCCCTTTTGATCTCTCATGATTGATTGTTTTAAGGAATGTTTCTTCCTGGTATAAAGGTTTGTTGCCTCTCTGTTCTTTGGCTGGAACTCACAGGAAGGAATTCAATTCCAGGCCTGAAATGTAACTAAGGGCCATAGTCTCAAGGGTCTCACCAGTCTCTATCAGACTTGTAAGCCTGGTTTTTTTTATGACTTTGAGTTTTGTTCCACATTTTTCTCTATCTAGGATCTCCTGCACTGATCCCTTTCCTAGTGGTTGACAGTGGTAGCCAGGCCCCATCTTGTTCTTCTCGTCTCATAGTCATATAGGCAAGGTTCACATGGTCCACTAGTCCCTTGGACTGATTGTTTCCATGTCTCTTTGGTTTTCTTCATTCTTCTTTGCTCTGGACTGCATCTGGATACCTCTTGCAAGCATTGAAGAGCCTAGTTGCTATTCATCAAAGTTGGATGTAGAACAATGTTTCTGTGTAGTATGTTATGCCAATTGAGCTTGGTGTCCCCCATGACCATGGTCCCAAGCCCACAGGTCCAACAACTTGCTCCTTCAGGGTGGTTGGATGTGGCTAAGAAGTTATTATAACTTTGCCCTCTGTTAGTTCTATTTATATGGATGTTCTTATAGTACCTACAAATACGTATATAGAAGTGGCATCTGCCAAACTTATATATGGTAATGAGTCTATTCCCTTCTGACCCAGACCTGAGTTTTAATTGGTGTCAACAAACCTTCCCACATCTCCCAACATCCACTTTCAGGAACAGCCTAAAGCTCTTTTCCTATAGCTTTTTGCTACCCATCACTCTTTTCTCTTAGCCTTGCAAGGGGTATGTGTGGTACTTCTGTAGGCCGCTGACATACCAAGGACTGGTACATAATAGAGATGTGATAAATAGTTGTAACTGAATGAAAGAAGTGGTGGATGTGGTTTTCTTTGGGCCTCTTAATCCTGAATGCCATGCTTAAGCCTGGGTGGAGTACCTACCTAATGGTACTGTAGGAGAAATCCCACTTCATTCACCAGCAGTGTGGAAATACAGCACAATAGAATGTTGGGATCCGACTCTTGGGGGCCATCTGGCCCCTTGTGTGCCTTTCTGAGAGAATGCACCCCCATGGTCCAGAGCCCCTGAGGAGGGGGATGTGTGGTCCCCAGTTGTACGTTTGGGCAATGCTCAATTAAAAAGGCATGCAGCTTTCATTTCTCTTGGCTTGTTGGAGCCTGTAGTAAGTTACTTGTGAATTTTCAAAAGAGAGATGTGGCATGTATTCAGTGTTTCCCAGATTTATTTGTCTTGGAACCTATTTTTCTTAGACCTCAACATGGAACACACTTTGAGAAACACTAATTTAAAGGTGAGAAAACTGAATTCCAGAGAGGGGACTATTCCTGTTAGAGAGTGAGTCAAGTCAGCAGCAACGTCAGACCGCTCTCCTGTTCCCTAGGCTGGTGTCAGCCACCGTGTTCCTCAGCTAACGCCCCAGCAATAGAGGCAGCACACCTCACAGAAGGGCTGTGTGAGGTGTGCATATTTTCATCTTGAGGTTTTCATGTTTTCCTAATAACAGACAATTTGTTCCAAGATGATTTAGATACTAAACAGTGAGGCTCTTTAAATGATTATTCATTCCTTTCCTGAACTCTATCCCCTGAGAACAGACAAAAGAAAACACATTTCTTCATAATCCTTATTAGTGCCTAAAGTCACATAATGCATTTATTTTTGTATGGTCCATTTCCTCCACTAGAAAGTGAACCCCTCAAGGGCAGCGGCTGTGCCTGTCCAGTTACCATGTCCCAGCCCTCTGAGAATGATGTGTCCTGTCAGGGCCATGTCTGTCCTCTCACTGTGTCTTGGCCCCTTCAGAATGCTGTGTCACTTCAGTGGTTCCTCAGAGATACAGATAATGGAATAATGATAGTGGAGCCACTGTACTGGGCTCATAGCAGAGTGGTGCACAGGGGTAAGGACGTCCTTGTGGGATTCTGAGTTGCAAGAAGCTTTGTTCCTTCTTGATCCCAGAAGGCTTAGGTGTTTTTCTCCACCATTGTGTTTAGTCCTAGAGCACTGGTCAGAATCCTGAACCTTCTAGCTCCCAACTCCCCTCATGCCTGTGACTCACATCCATCTCTGTCCTCTGGCTTTTTGCTTTCACAGGTGGTCTTGTTTAGTGTTCAGAAAGATTTTCCTTTCAATTTTGTCTTCTCAGACCTTCAAATATACACTTGCATCTATATATGTGTGTGTGTGTGTGTGTGTATGCTTATATTTTGAAAAATTATGAGCAAGTTTATTTTTAAGCATTCTTTGCCTTAGTTTTTTTATCTGTTAAATGGGGATAATAATAGTCTTTCATGGAGCTGTTGTAAAAAGGGCCCAAATAATGCTTGGCATATATTAAGCACTCAGTAAATGTTAACTAGTGTGTGTGTGAGTATGTTGGTGTGGGTGTGTGTGAGTGTGTGTGGGGGAGAGAGAGAGAATACAAATAACATAGAGATCCATTCCTGAGATTCTGAAAGAACTTTATCAGTATCAATAGATCAGTGTAGTGCTGAATTATGAGGCTATGTATTTTGTTTGGTTATATAATTTATAATTTATACACATTACAATACACCTTAATAAATACTCTTCCCAAAGCATACCTACATGGGGACAGTAATTTTAAAATATTATTGGTGGAAAAGTGAGGGCAGTGAACTATCCCCTTTGTGGCTAGAGAGCAAAGTACAGCAAGGGTCTTTACAACTCCCATTTCATTATAGAGACACAAGTGTGTACCTGTCACTTGCATTTTAGACTAAAATAGTTAACACTATTAGTCCTAGTTACTAAGGTTCTCAAAGCACTTTTGCACATATGTCTACTAGTGCTCAAGTGTGAGGCCACCTCAGGCATCCCCCAATTATAGACTGGCCCTTAGTCAGAAAGTAATTTGTTGGTTCTGAGTTGTTTCCTGAGTTTGGGATCTTTGGGCCCCAACATTATTTATTTCCCTATTGAGGTCTTTTTTTAATTTTATTTATTTTGTTGTATTGTACTTTGTGCATGCATTTGATTTCTGATTTTATATTCTAGGAATGGGCCTTAACAAAGGACAAGTCAGTGAAACACATGGATTTGTGCCTTACTGTGGTGGACCGTGCACCTGGCTCTCTCATAAAGCTCCAGGGATGCAGAGAAAATGATAGCAGACAGGTGAGGCTCCCACTGTTGAAGTGTGTCTGTGTGTGTATTTGCATTAGTGTCTGCTGAGGGTCCAGCTGCCCCATGTGTGCTCCTTGTTCTCCTCTGTACTCTGTACTCCAGCTTGCAGCATGGTTCTGGGGTGCAGGGACATGCGATCAATCATGATACTGCAAGTGCTGTGAGGGTGTTGCGGGGGGGAGCAGTGCTGTTTGCTGGGGAGAACTATTCTCTAGTTCTCATCCTGGCTCTGTATGTTTGCCCTGCCTCCTCTCACCCCTCCATGGCTTCCTCTACCATGGCACCAGTACTGCCAATGCCTACCCTGACCTCTTGATGGATCTACCTATCTTTGGGTCTTACCTTTATCTAGAGTGGAGGGGCAGGGCTGTACTTTCAAGTTGAAAACTCAGATTATTCTGATGTTCTATAAGGACCTGCCCTGGGCAGGCTCTATAGGAGGGGCTCTCATGTCATCCTTTCAGCTACATGGGGGGTAAGTAGTACCTTTGGCACATTTCTTAGTACCTGTTTGGATCAGACATGGTACCCAGGACACCCTGGGAGTGTTTGTCTAACAGGGTTTGGCAGGAGACACAGGGCTGCTGGTGGTTGTGCTTCTGGATGCTGAGCACCATGGCTGGAAGAGCTTGTCTGGAGGCATAGATCTCCCACCTAGGAGTGGGTAGAGACAAAGACAATGTAGGGTCCTGCTGCCCTTAGTTTGTCCATAAAATCTAAAGTAAAGTGCTGGCCAAGCCACACAGTGACAGCATGGCCCAGGATATAGATCAGTGGGAGAGATGACAACCTGAGTCAGTGAAAACTCTAATCTGAAGCTCTGTTTACAAAGCACATATTATTTACCTTATTCATGATATGTTAATGAAACACTTCCAAGTTACACTGCTTTCTTGAACCATGGGGTAGTAGTCAGAAGTACAAAAGAAAATGTGAAAGGCCCTTCCAGAAGCAGGTATTTGAAGTGCTGGCCCATCTTGCTGGATCTCTCAGTATGAGATGGATAGGGCAAAATGGATAGAATCTGTTAGAGCCAAAAACCTCACCCAGCCCTCATTCAACACCCATTCCACAAAACAGAATGCTGGGGTCCAGAAATTGAATCCCTTCTCCCCAAGGTCAAGGAGCTCTGGTGATGCAGTGGTTAAAGTATTCAGCTGCTAACAAAAAGATCAGCAGTTCCAACCCACCAGCCTCTCCATGGAAGAAAGATGAGGCAGTCTGCTTCCATAAAGATTTAGTGTTGGAAACTCTACGGGGCAGTTCTACTCTGTCCTATAGGGTGGCTGTGAGTCAGAATTGACTCAAGGTACTGAATTTGGCTTTTTGGGTTTCCTCAAAGTCACATGGGAGAAACAAGGCTTTGTTAAGTTTCCTAACTTTCCAACCAGTGCCCTTTCAGCTGCCCCTTTGTACATTATTATAAATTTAAACTTAAATGATCAAGGAAATGTTTGCAAAGGGCCCTCTTTTGGTTTGTCCATCTCCAAACACCAGCCATCTCTGGGGTGCCCCCTTTCCTGCTTCCCAGAGCCCAGCCTGCATTGGTGGTGGGCCACGCTCCTGCTTACTTCCAGCTGCTGCAAACATGGGTCCATTTTGATGATGCACTTCCATTACATAATACGCTGTTGAAAAAGGGATTGACTGTTAAACAGCAGAAGGCTACTGTCCCTTGACTCCAGACTGCCTGGAATTAGGCAAGTCTGGCACTTGCTGAGCTTAGTATTTGGCTCTACCTGCTCAAAGTTAAGTGGGTTTTCCTGGACCTAATGGAAACTGTGTGAAGAAGTCTTAGGAGATGTAAAGAAGGATGATGTTATCTCGTCTCCAAACCTTTTTACCTTTTAAAAAAACAAATAGACATTTAATCTCTTAAGGAGTTAACCTTTACAAAGAGTTCGATTTATTTCAAGAGTGGACAGGTTGTCCTGCCGTGACCCAGCCTGGAGAATCATAATCAGCGCCCCTTAAAACCTAAGGCTTCATGGGACAGAAACAGACTTGCAGGCAATGAGTGCTTCTGGACAAGTGGTACATATAAGTAGGAATGTTAGCCCAAAGACTCAGCCTGTGAGAAAAAGGGGTGGGGCCATTTTTATCACATCTGACTGTCTTAGAAATCAATCCCTCTACCTCCATTGTATTAGGCAGACTGGTCAGAGTTGACAGGTTGCCTTCCAAGAATAGAGCTGGGATTTGGTTGCATTGTTTGAAAGCCCTTCATTTAGTTGATGTTTTGATACATGACAGGCAGAGTTCCCGCAGAGAATGGCAACAGATTCCATTTGTTCCATATTCTCTGTTGAAATGATTTGTAGACATTCAGAAGTGGCATGGGCAGCCACATACAAAGTTTACATGACAATGGAGGCAAACAACAGAAGGAGTGACAGACAATTGCTGACATGAGATGATGAGTGATGCTAGGCCCCCACACTCACCTGAAGGTGTTGCATGTTCCCTGTTGCCCAAAGCTGCAGGTTAGGACATGGGTCTAGATACAAATGGAGTCCTTGTGAGAACACCCTTGCAGGTTTACTGTGCACTTGACTCTTCTGCCTGGCTCTGACTTCTCCGCCACACTCACTGGCCCTTTGAGAAGAGGCTCCTGAAGCTGCTCTGCCTGGCCTGTGGTATTTTGTTTTCTGTGCACGTCTGTATGTTCATGTTATGTATTCATTTGCAGAGGCAAAAGGGAAAGGGAAGACGAGAATTTGCAAAAAATATTTACATGAAGGAGCTTTAGTGCATATAGTGTAAAAAATTAATTAGAATCACGGACTAGATTAAAGAGGAGAAGGGTTATAGTAAGATTTTTAAATGGGAATATTTATATCACCTGCTAAAAAAGGGCAAGGAGTCCTTGGGTTTCCTTCAGCCTGGGTTATAGGCTTTGGTTTCTGTCTTGGTTGGTTGGTTGGTTAGTTTGGGGGGGGGGGGTGTGTATGTGTGTGCACGCACGCATGCGTGCACGCACACACATCAGTAGGGAATCATTACACCCTGTACTTTAGATGTTATACACTCAGAACTGAGCAAATATTGCCTGACACCGGCCATGCAGAGTGCACAATCAAGAAGCAAGGAATATGAAGTGGCTGAGACAGGTTTCTCACACCAGGAGAGGTCACATACAAGGAGAGAAGACAGCAATATAGCTGTAGAGTCCTCAGTGTTGTGTCATGCACACACAACCCTCTTTCCCTCTCATTCTACCTGACTGTATTCATTTTTTTCAGTTGAGCATAACACTCCTAAGTGAGAGCATTAGAAGGAGGCCTCTAGCTGGGCCACCTTTCAACAGCTGGTGGCAGGACTGAGCACCCTTGGAGCCGATTGAGTTCCTGGGATGCCTCCTTGAGTGAAACATCAGGGGACCAGGCTTTCTTGTGAGTGGATGCAAATTCCCTACAGCAGCAACCATCCTGGTAGAAGGCCTTGCCTTGTCAGATACTTTCCTGCTGACTAAGGGGCAGCTGCACAGAGCACTGGGTCTAGAACAGAGGGCACTCAAAGAGGACACCAGGCGGAGCAAGAGAGGCCAAAGCAGAGACACAAGCTCCTTTTCCAGCCTCATTGGCACCCAGGGAATCTGGACCTCGGCTGTCCCAACTACTCTTGGTAAACAAAGGCCCAAACAAGTTTATTTGTTGTTCTTAATGTGTCTAGATGAAGACTCTGACAATGCATCTGTTTTCAGTCTTTATTTGGTTCTTATACTACAGGTAATGCTTCTCCCTCATGTTTTGCAGAAATGGGAGCAGATTGAGGGCAATTCCAAGCTGCGGTATGTGGGCAGCAACCTGTGCCTGGACAGCCGCATGGCCAAGAGCGGAGGCCTGAGCGTGGAGGTGTGCGGCCCTGCCCTGTCCCAGCAGTGGAAGTTCTCACTCAACCTGCAGCAGTAGCGACAGAGCCACGCACCCTGACTCCTGCTCCACTGGCTGAGTGTTGGCGATCACGTTGTTGATTATGATTCTTAAACTTTCCACAAAACTATATACCTCAGTATTCCATCACATCTGAAAGTTGGAGAACTTAAGCAGGGCAGTGGGGCTATGCAGACACAGAAGGGGAGAGGAAGAAAGGCAGTGGCACTTCTCGCCTCCCTGGATGCCTCTGCAGCCAGGCACCCCTTCCAGGGCAGAGTCCATCCCTCCTCCTTCCAGCTTCCACTTTGTGCTCACTCAGGCAGCTGAGCCACACCAGGACAGCAGTGGACAGTAGAGAAGTGACCCACCCGGACATACATCAGAGGGCAGGAGGGAAAATGGGATGTAGATGCTGTGTTGCAGAGTGGAAGACTCTTGAAATCTCCAGGTGTGATCCCATCAAATCATTTATGGTTCCCACAAAACCTAATCATGTCATTTTGCAGGTTGACATTATTTCCCACTCCCTGCTCCTCCGTCCCCAACTGCCATTCTAGCCCAAAGTCCCTTCCTCCATGTAATGTACTTGCTGTATTTGAATATGAACTTTTCTAGGATGGGACACTAAATATAAATATATATTAAGAAAGAATTTACGGTCAGTTCCCTTGGTTTCTGCAGGTTGCCGTCATCTTGTAAATTTGCCACCAAGCAGCCCACACACTTGAGAAGATAAGGAGGGACTGGAGCCCTTTTGGGGCCCCATTTGCCTCCTGGAGCCTTATCAGCAAGTAGGTACTACTTTGGTCAGCTGGATGAGTCCTGACTTCCTTGCAGCTGGCACTTGGGAGATAGAGGTATGGGGAGCAGTGGCCAGATGCTTGGACCACGGGCTTGTGCCACTGGCACCTCTAGCTGCAGCTTGGAGTTACTGCTGTGTCTTGGAATTCACTTTGCGTGTTTTGGGTATCTGTAAACCTGTATGGATTACTCATCTTGACAAATACTGCTTTGAGTTTTTTTAAATTAAATTTCTTTTCTCTAAGAAAAATAACCAACTGCACAGCTCCCTGCTGAGCTATGGTCTTGCTGCTGCCCTCCAACAGGGCAGACAGACGGCATTAGGAAGCCATCACACATGTACACGAGGCTAAAAATGATTTCAGCCACTGCATGTTAGGCTTTTAGAATTAATTGAGCTACTGGCAGAAGGTGGGTGACTAGTCTCAGTCTGAAAACAAGCCTCATTTCCAGCTCTGTGTAATTGGCGTCCTGGTGTGTTGGCAATACCAGCAAGGTTATAGTGGCCCTGGAATTTGGCCTGTCTGCCCTGGTCCCACCCTCGTGAGAGAGGGAATGTGGCTCCATTTCTTCCCCTACCCCACAGTAACCACTTCTGGGAGCTTCAGGTAAAGATTCAATAAGGGTCAAAACAACAAAAGTATACCAAAAGTACACCAGCTAACTTACATTGAGTACTCAGAGTTAAAAAACAGAAGCCTTGTTGTTTAGGACACAGATTTCAATATAAACCACAAGATGGTTGTGAAATGAATTAATAATGAGCAGACAGGCTGGACACTTGGATTGCTGCCTACGGTGTCATATGGAGCCACTGTGACTCTATGGTACCCACAGCAATGACAGAACAGCCAGCCTTGTGCACAGTGACCTCCTGGCCATTCCCATGGTCCTGCCCTGCTTCCTTTTCCTCCCAGCCCCTCAGCCACTCACACACCCAGATACCCCATCCCAAGGTAGTTGGTTGGCTCAGCAGCCAGCAGAGTTCCTGTGCATGCACAGATGCACATCTGTCTGCCCCTCAGAGGGACTGCTGTGGTCACAAAGTTAGAAGTGGCCTAGAAGACTCTTATGAGTTGACTGGCCAGCACTGCTTTTTCCTGCCTATTTTCTTCCAGAGAAGGGAACATTGTTAGTCTTCCTTCTTCCACTGAAGAAGCTATGCTTTGTGGTGGTGGGGTTTACAGCAAAGACACTACTGGGTTGTTTTTGTCCCATGTCTTTCCCGTATTGTTCCCTGCCAGGCAACCAGATATATGAGTGAACAAGGTAACTGCAAGTTGGATTAAATTCTGCACACTGATATCTTTAAAGACTGTTTCTGACTACAAATTAGTTCTTGGGGAGAGTCTAAGGAAAATCACTCTTAGGTACCTGTGCAAAGCTGTTGACTACAGATTGGGGGCAGGAGTGAGACCTTGTCTCTGAGTAGATGGGTTCTGTTGTCAGACCCCTGTCGCCTATGAGCTTCTACTACTGTTGTTAGGGAAAAAGTCTCATTGATGTAAAATAAATTTGGCTTGTTTTAAAATCAGGTTTCTTGAATCCGTCACCCATGTCCCCCATCCCACCCAGAGTCTCAACTGTTGTATTATAGGGATGTGGCCACCAAACCCCATGGGCAGGCTGTGCCCTGGGAGGCAGCCTCAGTGGCGACTGGGGAGGGGTACTTTGTAAGCTATGTTTACATGACACAGTGTGCCAAAGTGACTTACTGTGATTGCATTATTTTTTAGTCATTGGGACAATCCCACCCTCGTACCCCCTTTTTAAAAGTAAAAATTCTTTCCTAAGAGCCCTTTGAGCAAATTGTGACAAGGTTAGTTGTCTTCTCTGTGGTGGTCTTTCTTATGTCTTCATAAAAGCTAAAATGATGGTATCTGTGAGTATGTTTTGCAAATTCAAAATATAGTTTGGTAATTTTTTTTCCAGTTGATTTTTAAAAAGAACTGCTGTACAGAGCTTGTACTTTGTTCATTTTATAGATGGAAACCATCCTTGAAAATTGTTTAACTTAAATAAAGAGATGATACTTTATAGATAAAGATCTCTGGTGCCTGGCTGCAGTTTTTCTTGGTTTTTATAGGATGGCTGTGAGGGTTGTAATTATATTCTGGCCTCTGCTCAATTACCATACTTTAACACACTTTTAAAATACATCCACCTTTTATTGCTGTGCCCTTTTGTTGTTTATTCTTATTTGTAATAATAATCGTTATTCATTCGAGGAGTGTTTATGATGGGCCAGGCTCCTACCCAAAACCTTTACAACATTCTCCTTGGGTGGTCACAGTAACCAGTGAGACAGCATTATGGGTTGCATTTTACAGAAGGAAGTGAGGCCTGGTGCTGGAAGCAGCTCAACTGCTCAAGGTCACATGGTTCTAAGTGCTGCCTGCTGCACCTGGAGTCAGCCCTGGCCCTGTGACCCAGAGTCTGCTCTCCAACCCTGGCCACCCAGTGTTTTACAGTTTTTTAAAATATTTAACAATATATACTTGCTTACCAGTTACCTGTTGTTGTTACGTGCTGTCAAGTCGGACCCAACTCAGTGACCAATTCCCTCAGATGATATTTGAGGTTTTTTCTCCCTGGCCTATTTAAATTCTTACCCCACAGGTGTGTCAGAAGAACACAAAACCAGCCAATTCTTTACTGAGTGGTTTGGATTGAGATTGAAGGAGAGGCATGAAAAGCTGAATGGAATGGCCTAGGTGAGCATTTTGAAGCTTCTGAAGACTATATTTATGCATCTTATTTTTCCATTATTTGAGACAGCCAAACATCTGGCCCTCCTGACTGCCACCTGAGAAGCAAAAAGCTTTGACATCATTCTGTGTTATCCATCAGCATTCCTTTAGGAGTTGTGTATGATCCCTGCTTGAGCAAAAGTGAAAGGTTCATTCATTCTGTACTGCTCACTGATAGTCCTGAAGAGGGCCTAAGACAGGGAAAGAGGCATGTTAAATTCCAGAAAGAGTATAGCAGATGGTTTGCAGGCTCAGAGAGAGGCATTGGTACGCAGAATCGGAGTAGGCTTCTTGAAGGAGGTGCCTTGAGCCAGGCCATGAGGGGACTGTGGGAAGGGAGCACAATCCAGGCAGAGGGACTGGTGTGCCTGGAGGTACAGAGGCATCTGTGGGCACAGTACAGGAGGGGCCCATTAGCTTGAGAAGGTTGGGGGCAGAGGGATGGGCACCTTAAATGCCCACTCAATAAGGGATTGGGGAAGGGAAAGTTGTAAAAGTTTTTGGAGCAGAGCATCAGATGAGCAAATTTTTCAGAATAAAATGTTTAACCTAATTCAGCTATTTGATTCAGCAGTATGATTTCACAATTTAAATATATATTCATACAGGAAAATAAAATCACATGATTTCATGCTCTTTTCTGCCACTGTCTTACCTTAAAAAAAAAAAAAAATTATCTTCCTAGACCATTTTATATATTTCTGGACAACTTATTAATATCATACAGTGTTCACGTACCTGATTTATGGATTATGCTGCCCGTGTTTTCTAAGAGGGAGATGACATTTCTAGCATGGCATCAACCAGTAATTCTTCCTTTTCTTGTTTACCCACATTTTACAAATTTGATTCTGTTTCAGTCTCTCTTCATTGACCATCACTGAACCAGGAAGAACTTATTTGAAGGCTTAGTGTAAATTTCAAAAGACATTATCTCATATAACTCAAAATCCATAAGGACTGTTGCTCCAGGTTGATCCTATGGTCTGATCCAGTGAAATGATTGCTTCCTGTTTGACCCCAGAGTGCTACCATGGTTACAACACTCAGCAACAATGAAGCATGGTTCCCCCTCCTATGCTTTCTTCTTTCACTTAGGGAAGGTATTCCTTTCCCAATAAAACACCCAAACATGCACACTTCTCCAGATCCTATGACCAGAACTGACCCTTTTGACTAGGAGTTTGGGAAGCAGAAAGCAGTCACCTCCCATTGTCTGCCTTAATGATAGAAGTGAGTAGTTCCTGGTTGGTGCAAATGGTTAACTTGCTTGGCTGCTAACCAAAACGTTAGAGGTTCAAGTCTGTTCAAAGTACCTCAGAAGAAAGGCCTGGCAATCTACTTCCAGAAAATCAACCATTAAAGACCCTATGGAGCACAGTTACTCTGACACTCAAGGGATCACTATGAGCTGGAATCAGTTTGATGGCAAATTTATTTTTATAGTAGAATGAGGAAAGGGAAGGGGGTAGCCACCAAGTCAAC